TTTAGCTCTAAGAGCTGTAGGCTAGCATGAAGAAGATTTGCGCGGTATATTGATAAGATGAGACGGTTCGATCAGTAGTCCAATGAATGCAACATTTGCATCCTGTTAGGATGCTCTCCAACTCGATTCTCCCATTTTGATTTCTGATTTTACCGCCTTTTTCTACAATTTATTTTGATTCTCCATTGTTTCATTCCGGAATTAATCGTGATACGAGTGCGTAAGATTTGCTGATTGTGGTACACACATACGGACGGGGCTCACAAAAATTCGAATCCGGGATGTGTATCCGTAATGGTTGAAGTAAGCACAGATTACGAATTACGAATCAATAATCACGGACGCCACGGAAACTGAATCGCACTGGCACTTGCATGCTGGTATCTCACGCAATCGAGACGCACTGAAAAGACCACAGAAGTAGCAGGTCATTGATTGGAAGAAATCAAGGGGATTAAATAACACGTACAAAGTAAATTTATTGGTTATGCAGGTATCCACCAACCGCATGCTCATATTCTTGATGTCTTACAGCTTCTACCTCGACCTCACGACTTGTGATTGGTCGGCACGATTGGCCTGTGGTTCGTTGTCCAGAAGCTGTAACATGTAGGCGCTTAGCTGGTGTCATCTGGAAAGATTCACTCACCGCAGTTGTCCAGAAACTGTAACGCGTCGCTCCTTGATTTGCGTTATCTCGTAGGCTAGATTCGTCACACTATCTTTTAGTGGGTGCCAAACTATTCTGTGACTAAAATCAAGTCGACTCATTACCATTACTACTAATTCTATGATTACTACTTATATAACTTTAGAGCATCTATTCTGTGTTCATCCTTATGATTATCAAACGGATTTTAAGAAAAGTACAAAACATCCATTGGTCTTAATCATGCTGTCCTAACTGAACTACAGAATAAAATAATGTCACGCATATATATATATATATATTTCCACTCTCTCACTTTGATGGGAAAACGTCTCCATCACGGGAAGGTAGTGAGTAGGGCCTTCTCAGCAGAGGTCATTTAAGAAGTGTCATCGTAGAGGAGCGCAACGAGAGATGCAACAGAAGAGTGACTCGCCGCAACCCGAGACACCCACACTGAGGCTTCCAGAAAAAGGGTTCCAGTACTGGTGAGATTCCAACTGTTTCTGTTGGTTACATGCCGTAATTGATCACGGTCATGTGTTACTTGATGTGATTAGATAAATAAAATTGATGAAATTGTCTAGAACTGAACAAGTGTCTAACTCTGCGTGAGCGTCAATAAGATCACACAATCATTCGCTGAACCAGGGCTCGAAAACGCGGAATTTCACAGCAATTTCACGCAATATCCACTGGACCATTCGACGGTTGATTTAATAGACGATATTTCTATCATACAACATACAGTCTTTGGTTTTCACGGTCCTAAATCAAACTGGTTTCAAGTTTGTTCCTTATTTGCTGCTACTGTCCCAATTGACAGGGTGGAATGCAGATCAATTTTATTTTCACAACGGTTCAACGGAATAAATCACTGGTTTGTCGTGCCACAAGCTGAACTACCATCGCTACCCGTAATCTGATCTCACACGTGGTCGAGAAGCGTAACGCACTCGTTTTAAGAGAAAAATAGATAAGAAAGTCAATGTCTGGTTTAATATTTCAATACCTTTGTAAATTTCTCGATGTTTCCGTTACTGATATGAATTCGTTCCTTAAACACAGCCGTCCACCTTTTCATTCTCTTTTTATTCAGTCAAAGACATCCCGAAAATAGGTAAATGCTTCATATATTGCATGACCTTGTGTTATTGTTATTCAGTACCAATACTACATACTAATAACAAATCAATATGCTGTCTGAGTGGATTTCTGTCATTTGAATTTTCTCACTCAATAGCATTACATAACTGCGTAAAGATTTTATCAGCCTTAGACCCTTTCGCTGAGAAAGAGCAAGTCAAAGTTTTATCCCCTGGTGTCTTTTTACCCATATTAACTGATCCGATTGGCTCGTTTCAAGGTGAGATTGTGTGGGAATAACCAAATTGAAACTTGTAACATGATTCGTGAATTTGAAGGTAATTGTAGTGTGGAGTTTCGTGGTCCCAGTCGTTTAGTCAACACGCTAGTTCACAGACTAATTTGTGATGATTGAGGCACCAAAAGGGCATTTTTATGCTCTGTGACCGTCTCCGTCCACATTCGGGTTATCCTCAACATATGGACGTGGTGATGAATGGCTTCTGTTCATTGCGGTGTATGATCACTCGGTGCGTGTGGATTCTCTTTTTTCCCACATACCCCCCCCCCCCCCCCCNACCACTCCGATGACTCGTTGGTGTATAAACCAAAATATTAAACTCTCCGGTCGAAAGATTTTCATATCTGTTTGGCGACAAGTACAGGCACAAACCATCAGCATCGATAAACTTACCATACAACCAATTACGTCCAACTTTCCTAGAAGTCTAACAGTATATGGGATGTTCATGGACTGTGAGAGCATTTTACTTCCCAAGGACCTTGGCTGAAAATGGAAGTTAAATTTGGGAGGCAGGATGGAGCTCAGCCTCTACAATTTATTAGGTATCTGATTTAATGTCTCATAAATCCTTTGAATGGAGTCGTTTGTTCGAATACCCAACTCATCTCGAGTCTCAGTCAAGCCACTCACCACAGCCACAACCGAGAAAGGAGGTATTCGTGGTTCGTACACCTCTTCTTCGTTGATTTGAATCAAGAGTTTCAGCCCACTTCCCTAGATGAACTGCCTTTAGTTCACCAATCCTGTCATGGTTTTAAATGTCGGCTTTTCTTCTTCTCAATCTGACGTAAAGAAACTAGCACATGGAGGCGGTAAATAAGGTTTCCTCAGCAGAGGGTATTTGAGATGCTCGGTTGTATAGAACGATCCCACGAGATGCAAGAAAAGAGTAATCATCCACAAAACAAGATGCTCATTCTGGATGATTCTGAGGTTTTCGGAGAAACTTATTTCCATTGCTATTGGGTACATTTTTTAAACGACCTAATAATGGTAAACAGGTGAACATAAAGACTGCTGTACATTCATCTAAAAGGCAACTGATTGATTCTGTTCTTGAAGATGAAAAGTCTCTAAGTGGAAACAAAAACAAGTTAACAAGAGGAATTTCAAAATACGCTATTCTCGCAAACTGCGTGGAATTCGAACTCCACCGTTTGATAGTATCTTCTTGAAGTCTACTGATGAAGTCGACTGAATGCTTTTTCACGAGCAAATGAAAATGGAGGGAGGGGCAACTGTAAAGATCTAAATCCACGTGGACAACGGAGCAGACGATCGTACAATAGTGCGAAGTGGTTACATGGCAAATTTCATCATCAGGTCTGCACTAAAGTGAATGAATTTACGCTGAACACCGCTCAAGAGTGTGCGACAATAGGTGAAGGCTTAGCCTCATACGTGGTTACAATGCTTAGGGAAAAGAACTACTGGAGCCTTTCAAAGGATGGGATTGTAAGGAAGATCGTTCGTTTGTTTTTAAAGGTAGTTTTGACAGACACGAAAGTTTAATCCTGTTTCATTAGAAGTATGTTTGACCCCTAAAAGGACAAATACCGTTTGCCTAATGGCTGCTTTAAAAACTTTATCCCAACTTTTATGTGTGATAATACCTTTAGAGTTCAAAATATGCCTTATTATCGCCATGAAAACAAAGAAAGAAATGTCTCCCTTTTACAGGAGGGAGGGAGGGAGGGCGAGAGATAACTCTGTATGTGCGTGATACGAAACGCAGTTTGTTCTTGATGATTTAGCGATTTCTTTCAACTGTAAACCAACCAATAACAATCTCACGCTACTTAGATTCACGGAAACTCCACTAATTGTTCGCTGTTTTGGTTTTTAAGCTGAATATATTCCTGAGATGATTGGTAAGGCATCACGATTTCGGCCAAAGTGTCACAACCAGATGGAAGATATCTCAATAGGTAAGATTACTAATAATACCTATTATTATTATTATCATAACTTAATCGTGGGCTGTATTTGATTTGTGTGCTATCTGGTTATTTGCTGGTTCTTGCGCTCCCGGACGGATCGATTTCCAATCGCTGCATGTTTGTTTACTCCCGGCACCTCGAGGTCACTCGTCGCCCTCACTTTCCCTGAGCAAGGAGACTATACGAAATTAACTTGAACTATACTGGTTGATACGGTTGCAGTTAGAATACGGAGTAAGGGAACATATAGGCATGGATACAGCTGGTGTGAATTTCAATCCTCTTGGCGCGGGGTCAAANGACGCACGAATCACGAGTGATCAGCTGATCGAAAGATATCTGTAGCCACAGGCATGTTTTCGATTGACTATCAGATTCCTTCGTTGTGAAATCAAGCGTAGCTCGTCTGATAGCGTTTAATTGGGTTGCTTTGCCATGGCAACCCATTACAACCCACCTGATCTTTCAGATGAGGCTCTGAATACCACGATTAGGAGTTTCTCAACCGTCCCGTCTGTCTTGTAGTCCGCCGCTTCAAATGCCATCTGTACGCTTCCTTCTTTGATGATCCAAATCTGTTTCACTTACTCTGCCCTCTACTGGTAATAAGGGATCCGGTTACTTAGGGTTTTCCAAAGGTAGCGCTTGACAGACGTTGTCTCGCTCCCTCTCCTGTATTGAAGGTCTATCAGAATAAATGCACATCCGCGTTTCTGTTCGATGCAATCTGATACTGATAATCAGTTGGGGTCGAATGAGATCCGACAGTGTACTAAAATAGTGTCGCCCACGAGCAGCTAACCTGGGCGTATTCTCCCGTTCTAGTATATGGTGTAAGTGATTAGCCCTGTTCATAAACTGGTAAGCAAACCTTCGCACTGCCATGATCAGCATCATCCAAATCGCCATCATGGTTATTGAAATACATGCATATATGCATATATATATATATCGATTTTATTCATATATTATTTCTTTTTCCTCAGTTGTTCTGCAAATATTTGAATTGGATTTTCGCTTCATCATCAAAAAACAGGATGAGGAGGAGATTTATAGAGAGGAGGCTGAAGATATGGTAAGTTGAATATGATTGGGATGGGATGGGATGGAATGGTGTGACAATAACCCGGGCAATCTTGGACTCAGTGCTGGGTCGACTGGGATTGTCGAGAGAGTGTTTGGACTGTTCGGGGTTATTTATTTTCCTTATTCAAGATGGTAAACATTCTCGAACTGAAATGATCAAAACGACATTACACGTGAATTTCCCTCGACCGAACTGGACTGCAATGGAGGCTTGAACACACACACACACACACACAGTTACTCAGTCCCCCTCACAGTAGTGTCAATAGACAGTGCTGTCAATTCCACAAGGTTTGCTCACTTTTACCCGCGCATACATACATCCTTAATCCTGACCAAGTCCAGAAATTAAGTTGAGAATCTTGAACGCAAAAAGACATCATGTGCACCTTATAAAGCAATTCATAAAACCTCTGGAAACGAACACAAAACAAAAAACTTAAAATATTTATAATATAATTGAGATAAACAGTTTTTAATCTTCGCCAACATCCATTTGTCTCGGAGCTGCTCAAAGACATCTGTTTCTTACACCAAACACTGCTACATTGGTTTTTCTAAACGCCCCTTTTAGCGGCTGCAAAATAGCCAATGGAATCAAATTGTAAATCATCACGTTATACTTCAGTCGATCTGGTACTTTCGATACAGAGTGATACTCTATCCACTTCGCATAACACCTCCCCCCCCTGCAAGAAGAAGTTCAGTGGATAAAAGTATGATGATCCTGGACACAATGCAGGGGGTCCGCGTCTTCTCAATCCATTCGATCGGAAAGGCCCCTTTGAGTCACTTTTTCAGGGCCACAACATATACAGTGAGAAAGTGCCCTATTGTGATGAAATATTGCTCTTAACGAAATGGATATAGGCAAGCCATCCTAATAGGTACAAAGGTACCCTCTATCATACTCAACTGCATGCATGTTCTCTGGTAACTATAGCGGTCCTACGACTCGAGACCCGTATAAACGGAACGCCAAGCGTTGACCTTCGTTTTGCTGGCCAGGGGCACTTTTCTCCTGCCATCTGTCCACCCATCGGTTTCCCTATATGATGTGCAAAGGTAGAGTCAGATTCATTGAGGAACTTAATATTGCTACCCAGTGTTCTTTGAACCAGTCACGGAACTCCACCTCCGAGGGCAAAGAGCTTGGATCCCATTTGATTGGTGTTTCTTTAGGCCAATCTTGACCGGCATACATGTCACGGATCCACTCGACTTGCCTATTTCTCTGAACATATTTCCACCGGAAGTGGATGGGGGATGAGATTTTACCGCGTGCAAAACGAATGCAAAGCTTGAACCGAAAACCCAGGAAGCACTGGACCGGTGTTTTAACCCAATTGGGTCTAATCAGTAGTGTGAATTTATCCGCTTAACTGGGGGGATCGCGAACCCGGAAATTCCCCACAAGTAGAACGCATGCTTACTACTCACTCGACCATGGGGCCGCTGGTTAAACCGTTTTGTTGCCTATGCAACCCATCTTTGCCAGTTTGTTGCGTACATCGCACCTCGTTCATCTTAGCACTGGTCTTCCGGGTTCTGCATGAGGTACCGGATCTGCCAACTTCGTTTGGGTCGATGGATTCACACACTGCTGATGGTGAAACCTGACCAAAACAGTTGTCCACTGCCTCTTAGTTTTTCAGTTCACGCCTCCTATATAACCGAATCACATTCTCCACTACAACTCTAGTATAAGGAATGGTTGAGTCGAAGCAAGCAAGTACTGTTAACGTGCGAAAAAGAACAATTGATTTTCATTCCACCTTGGTGAGATTATACCTACTCTTTTTACCAAATAAATTTATACTATTTTCTCATAACAACTTCCTCTCACTGCAAGTGGTTGTCATGTTCTTCTTCCGTTCGCCCCGTGCTTCCCATTTAACATGGGATGGGCATTAGCTCTTCTCAAACTTGGAGTTGATTTGCTCAAAGCACTACCTATTGTCATTCCACATCGGTAAACACAATCAGGCATGCTTTGCTCATTCCTCACTGGTGGAGCGGTTTGAAAAATCACTCGCATTTGATAAATGTTGTCTATTCCAAGCTTCCGTCCAATGACTTCCCGCGTATTCAAACTGAATAAACGCGCCATACATCGTTGTTTGAATTCCTTCATCGGTCTCCACCACTTCCATTCAGCTAAAACCGACCACATTTGCTCCAAGCGTCATTTCTTTCTCTATCCTAAGTGAACAAGAAGGGTCAGAACGCTGTAAAGAGAAACCGGTTTAGCAGCATTACATGAACCATGTTCTGTACGATTTCCCTGAATTTTCACTTGTCCCTACCTCAGACAAATACAATGTTGGTGTAGCATTAGAGAGTGGATTAAAAAATGAACATAAACATGAAAGGAGGAATGATCACTAAGGTAAAACCAGATTGAAAACACGAATTTAGAGGCGAAGAATTCCTTTCATTGATCCATCTTCTGGCCTGTACGGATCAAATAGGAAAATGGCATTTTGAACGTGGATAGTCATTCAGTCATTCAAAAAAGCCAGATTGTGTCGACAAAAAGATTTTTTCATCACCCTGAATCTACCTTGGAGACCATTTACCGATTCACGTTTATGGTTTTGTTTTGTAATCCATTCCCGAACCCTAGACGAGCATTATATTTGTCTGCTATATTGACCAGTGGAGATGCAGCGAAATCGTTCAGGATGTGGTTTGTGCAATTCTGTTCTAACCGATGCTCTTTTCAAGCTTATCGTCGGAAAAGCCTGTACAAAATTTCTTGAAATCTCTTCTCTCGGAGCAGAAATGTATCAAAATTGTTGTTGGTTAATATTTCGGGAGCTATTTAGGGTGCCGGGCTTTCTTTAACTGTATAGTTTTCCCCTACATCTCTGAACCATTGCTCGTTTCTTTCGTTCAAAGAAGATATTTTTATTGATTGATTAGAATTTTACATCACACACGCATACACACGACTAAACCTGACTAGGTTTCTTAATACACTAGATTCGTCTATCTTGTTCAGTGCTATAAGTCCGCAACCAATGAGAGTATACGAAAGGAATTCCTCTCGTAGTGTTTGTCTTCTGTCTTACCTTACGGGATCTAAATGTTTCAGCTGTTTTAAAAGAAAACCATCAAAAGTGTCTGGTGCCTGGGCACAATCAAAGGAACTAATCTAAATGTGATATTCTATGTTGGTTACATTTCGCTGGTGAATAAACGGCCATGTCAACAACAACAACAGAGTGGTTTTAAAGAGGGAACCATGAGATTATTGAACATCTGAAACGAATAATAGAATCAAAACTATCCCACTGAAATCTGTCTACCTCAAGCTGGCTTTCGGAGAGGGTGACCATTACCTTCTGAGGTTGACCCTTAACCGCACGTATTTTATCAGCTGCTCAGCTTAGACTTATCTGTCCCTACTCAGAAAATTGATTTAGACAAAAGTGAACACGGTTAGCAACTGCGTTCTTTCTCTCTCATACATACGGTATACCATTATAACCCTGCAGTTCCAACGACGCGTGCAGTGAGTTAGCTAACACTAACAGTGGCCGAACTCGTTCGAAAGCGGTTTGTGAAGTTACAAGCTACACCCTCAATTGGCAAGCTATCACAAAGAATTCGGGGTCATTTACTCCAAAAGATACCTCATGATAACCAGATAAATAGGTTCGATTCTGCTAACCCTTTCTAATCACTATTACGCAACCGCTATGCTAAACTTAGGGTGACCATTGATCTGCTATGGATTTTAATTGCATCAACCCATTTTTCCTCCCAAACAGTTGTTGTTGTTGTTGTTGTTGTTGTTGTTGTTGTTGTTGTTGTTGTTGTTGTTGTTGTTGCACTTAGTCCACTTTCGGTGGTGATATTGTCTGTCAGCAAACGATCGTTTACTAGAATCTACCAGTCCGTTTATTTCAGATCGGCGATTGTGGAGTCTAAAAATACTGACTGTTTGAAAACACGATTATGCTGTCTGGTCAAACGAATCTCCATGAAAATCTCTGCTTTTATGCTGTATCGTTTTTTTAATGCTAATTATGCCATTATCATTAGATTATTTTATTCTTATCATTGGAACAGATGCAACTGCATATCACTACCCTTTCATCGGACGCGAGAATACGCTTTGCCTTTTCGGGGGACAAGACCTACTTTATGAACAGATTGCATACGAAGGTTTTCATATACATGAATCCGGAACGGCTATTTCCGGACAACAAATCTCGTACAGTTGACAGATTGAATCCAATTCTTAATTGGCACACTGAGTTCAATTATTCCGGCCGTGCCCTTCAATTGACGAGTGAAGGTATGTTGAGACTCGTTTTTTCACTAATCAGTGTAGATTATCCGTTAACTTATTATCACTCGGATGACCAGCAAAAACTTGCATGACTGTTGACATCACCTTTATGATTACGATAATCATCATCATCCTCCGAGTCATCATCACCATCATCATCGTTATCCTCTTTGTGATCATCTGAATCATCATCTTCGTTGTCAAAGAGAACAATGAATGGGCAAGTGGTACGTCATTGGCTAGATGGGCTTCCTAATCGTGTGATGTTTGCTGACGTATAGGATTAAAGATAGATAATGGTAATGGAACTAACACCTAGTTTGAAGACTCTGAACTGGGAACATGATCATACTAGTCACGCTAGTTTCTCCTCAAGGAGTAGTCTAATCGATGGTCAAAGACACTGAATGATATGGCTGAGTGCCGGAAGCAGCAGTGCTCCTGTATCCCCTCAGATTCTTCCCGAATTTAGTTTACTCAATATCTGTATCTTTATCCTGACACAGTTCTCAGCTTTGTAATTTTTACATCTACTTCATCCAAATGGGCCAACAAAAGTCAGCAATCAAAATCAATACACGGAAGACCAAGTTTATTTATTCTATAAATTGAGGCT